ACAAGTTTCTTAWTTAGCGGTGAAGGTGGTCAGTCCACAAATTGCTGGGCTTGGGCTGGGTTTTGTGTTTAGGCCCTGCCCACAAATTGCCATGCCCGGTCCAAGCCCAGGTTATAATACCCTTATCATTGGTAATAAGCCAAATCTGGGCCTGACCCATGATCATGGTCCATGATGTCTATTCAATGTATGGTGTAAAATAACACTATAAGAGTAGAAGAAAAATCTTGAATGGTGGTGAGAAGAAATGCTACTAGTACTGAACAACGAGTTGATGCAACTATCGGATTCTTCTCTCCAAAGACATGTTAGGATACAAAGATATGCCACGTCATCTCGATACATGGGGCCCACATATATGGAATTGAAGTAAAACATCATGCTTAACCCTATTGGAAGTCGTCTAGAGTCTAGGACCCATCCAGGGTACTGTAGCTCTGGGGCAGAGAATTGAGATGATCTCATTGATCCTGTCCAAAAACACAAACAAGTGAATTGAAAAGAGTGGAATTGCATCCCTAGGTTAAAGTTATTATCTGAAACTCCCCCTTGTTAGAATCTAACAGTCTCTTGATTCTTAAACTAATCCTGACCTTTTGATACCCTGAAAACCACCCTGTTAGGCATTTTTATTTATAGCATACATACCTTCCATTAGTCAACGTTAATAACTATAATATGAAATGGTCCACATGTGCCATTTTTATTTCTTAATGACAAAAATAACCTTGACCAAGTGGTTTAACCTAATAGCTAATTTTTTATGACATAAATACATTTTGGTTTATGTCTCTCCCATTCTCCCCTATTATTTTATTGACTGTTTGACGTTCACCCATTTTACAACCCACCAACACAACAGTTTGATTTTCCCACCGATAGTTCAAATTGAGTGAAAGGATGAATCTATTTTTAAAAATTTAATTCAAAGGATGGTGCTGAATAGCGGCATTATCGTAATCTTGCAAACACCGTTCTAACGGCGAATTCCTGATGGGGGAATCTTTGGAGTGAGTTCAGATCTCTTGCCCACAAGAATTCTGTTCATGTTTATCGGAGTCACACATGAAGAACATCTCATCCTCTGTATAGTATTATGCAGRGGGAGATRTTCCCAATTCATGGAGAATAGCGTATTGTGGGTAGACATGGGCAGAGTTCTCGTGGGCAGGTGATCCAGACTCCTTTGAAGTTGGGAGGTATTGAAAAATTAGGGTAAGTTTAAGAGAAGATCAGAAAAGTCTAGGGGTGTTTCAGACCAAAAAAAGAAAAGAAAAGAAAAACATACTAAATTTATAAACCACAAAATTGTAATGGACCATTTTGTGGATGGGGCCAAAATTGAATATGCTAAATGCATATAACTTGAGGCTCTTCTTTTTTCAGAGTTTTGTCCATAAATCAACTAAAATATTCATTCAAATTCTGTATAAAAATAGTTTTTTTGGTAAAATATTAAAAAAAAAACAACTGAAAGGTGTAACGTTACGACATCAATTATTGTGGTGAGACACTGAGATGAGATCTCAGTCTCAGTGTCTCAGATATCTTCCATCCAGAATCCAGGTATATTGAGCTGGGCTTAAGATGGATTGGGTTGGTTTGTTTGTTCTTTGCTGGGTTGGGTGATTTTACTCAGTCCCCACCAAATGGGGTGGGGGTGGGGTGGGGGGGGGGATTATAGAGCTTTGGCGCTTCTAATTAATTAGGATAGGACTGAACTGTACCATTACCCCTACACACTGCTTTGTAGGGGATAACTTCTGACATGCACTTCTGTCGGGTGTTCTCTGTCTCGTCGTCGTCGATACGGATGATGCAAAACAGAATTCGAATTTGGATGGGCCAGATGGGCTCTCTACTCATCCAATCAAGAGATTTGGGCCACACTGGGCCTGCTACGTACTCTGATCATCAATTCATCATATATAAATATTGAGACTCCCTTATTATGCTGTATCAAGCTCAAGCATTACGACTTTAACCGTTGACATTGTCCAGGGAGAAATTGTTCCCAAGGCACAGAACTCGGCCCAGGCCAGAAATCACCTCCTGGCTCCGCCTAGTACATATACAAATTGGTCTGCTATTACCACTGCAGCAGCAGCAGCACCAGCAGAGAGTCCACATTTCCTAAGCAATGAGGATTTCACGCTCGCTGGTCAACTGGGAAAGCACCTGAGGCTGAGGTGCGTTTGGCTAATTGGAATCTTAGCCATGCATGAGCATTCCAAGTTCCAACGCCATGTGCATTGTTGTTACCAACTTAGTGCCTGCCTTACCACAATAGTTTCAACTTTCAACTTTCAATTCACGGGATCCAAACACATCCTTTGTATCTAGTGCCCGTTTGGGAATTGGGAGGGCTTTTACCTAGTGGCTCCGACTTTACAAGATGGGTCCCCCACCCAGACAATCTACAACTACAAGCAATGTTTGGTGAAAAGTGAAAACCTTGGAAAACCCAAAACAGCTATCTTACAGGTAAAAAACATGGCTTTCCATTGAAATTTCTTTTTTGTGGCTTATTCAAAGCAGCTCGATCAAAGCTTCAGTTCAGCCCTCCCAAACGGGCCGGGCCCTTAGMAGGAAAGTAGACAGACAAAAGCGAGAAGCTAGCTGGCTTACTGGGTCGACAAGTAAAGAGACACAGACCAAAGAAGATTGTGACATAGCTGAGTAGCGCTGGCTTCTTAGGCCCAGAACTGCATTGTAGGCCATGAAATTAAGGAGGTGGCTTCACGTTGAGTTTCTGCTTGGGACATTATAGTGATGTACAAGCTAGCATCTTTTAATTCTGCTTGTAGAGGGGCCCAAAGCAAGGCAGCCATGGTTGAAGGTTTCCCAAGGGGACCACCATATATATGAGTCAAGTCCTCTCTCTGTCTCTCTTTTGTGGGTATCATCAATATTAAACAACTAGTGCAATAATAAAATAAGGAAGAGGTAGGACATAGGTGGAGTCACTGGGGACTGTTTTTCTTATATTCTATGTGCTGTAGTGACTGCCATATTTAGCTTAGTTAAGGGAAACCATGTTTACCCTTCACTGGGACTAATTCATCAAATATATAAAAGCAACTTGTTAATATGGAAGTTTCTATGGTCTAATTATTAATGAGAAAACAAAGACGAAAAATGGACTTAAAGGCAGAAACTGAAGCAGAATCTCTCTACTTGTGTTTTCTGATTTTTCTTATACCAAAAGGCTTGTTATTGGTGTTTCCCAAGCTGTGAGGATGTCCTCTGCATTACAAGACCAAATGGGTGATAGTGATTTCTCTCTCAGCTCTCATCATGATTAGATGTAAAACAATTAGAAATGAGCATCATCATGACACTTTCTCAAATACAAACAAAACTCAAAAGTTCTAATGAAGCATCAAGACCCAGCAGCTCGCTGTTTCTTTATGTATATCTTTTTTCTTAATTTCTAAACTTGTGACATATTCAACACGTGGGCTCCGGCCCCCCAATCTGGTAATCAGTCATTCTTAATTAATTGGTTTCTCTAACACTATTGTTATTAGGGGACATGCTTGCTGGAGATGTAAATAATTTGGAAGGATTTCATGTGACAGATTAGGATGAGGTTGAACAAGGGTTCCAGTTGTTAAACATGCATCTCTTGTTCATCATGTGGCAAGTTTCATCTAGACTGACCAACCCAAATCATGTGGCAAATGGAAACCATGAGAGAGAGAGAGATGTGGGATGGGATGTGGGCACCCATGAGTACTGAACATGTGTGATGTATATGGGTTCTAGAGTACTGGAGACAGTGGAGAGTTCCCCATCTGAGCGGCTGTGTAAATTGACCATCTTCTTTGTGTTTGTTGCCAAATAGTAGACTGCCTGCCTGCACCCAGGCCCCAGGCCCAAGCACAGTCCATATGAGAGGACTTTGCATTTGTTGTTGTTGGTAGATAGTACTGTGGTGGTTGCTGTAGTAGTTGTCTATAACACTAACCATTTCTGAAAGATCCAAGCGAGCCATCTCCTTGTTTATTATYTTTGGGTTTCCCCTTTGGGTGCGCCTTCTTTCTTGGGCCACAGGTGACAGGGCCCACAAACGGGTCTGGGCGTGGGACCTACATTCCTACCCACCTCTCTCTTTCTCTTTCTTTCTCTCATGCTTCATTGTTGGACCCACCATCCAAAGGGTGGTGGGACCTACATAACTCAATGATTTTTATTTGGGCATTATTTATGTAGTCATTTTTCATACTTCAAGATTTTTTTTGGCCTATCAAAATTTCTTTGGCTTGTGACTTGTCTGATTTATAGTTGGTAACAAAAATGGAAGAGAGAACTTTAAAATCCTTGTAGCTTGTAATTTTGGGTAGGACTACTCAATGTTGGGTCATATTCCTTTTAATGTTGTTATTGTTTGTACAAGTACTAAGTGGTAATAAAAGTTATAAAACTACTACTACTACTACCAGTAGAATACCTATTTTATTGAACCATGAAGGCATGAACCCACCAAACAGCCAAAGAGCTAGCATAGTTCTGGGTCACCTATAACCTCAAGTAATGTGATTCATGTGATGTAATAGGGCCCTACTCTTAATACCAACACAATTTGTCTTTGATCTTGTTCTTCTTTTTCCTTTGCAATCTTTTAATTGTCTATTTGAACCAATAGTTTTGAGAGCTCACCTACATTATTGGCTTCGTGGTTGGGACTTGGGATTAATCCTTCTTATTTATTAGGGGACTTAAAGTTAGGTGCAATAATTAAATGTTGAAGCTTTATAGTTTTTAATTGTAGCTAGGTTGAGCTGCGGACCCCAGCATGAAGAGAATCCATAGTTTAAAAGTGCTGACTTCAATAAAAGAGAAAGCCTATTACCTAATCATTTACTGTCAATCTCACTCTTATAATAGGATTACTCTGATCAAGTTCTAGAGAACTGTCAAAAAAGGAGGAGAGGACACTCAAAAGGTTTTAAACGGTAAGAGAAAAGAAGAAAAGAAAATGATTGTGCTGTAAACGATAAGAAAAAGAATAGAGCCTTCAAATTTAGTAATTTACTACCCCTCCTGGCCATCAACTTATTCCCATCTCAAACAAAGCCCAACAAAATGGATATTGAAAAAACCAAAAAAAAAAAAAGCTAAAAATCCCAAATTACAAACAACCCATTAAAAGATGTTTACAACCAGGGTCAGACCCCCTATGCTGCTTCTGCTTCCTTTTTCTTTTTCTTCTTCTTGTTCTCTTCTTTGTAAATAATGCATTCACATAACAACATCTATGTTCTGTAAGTTCCTGGCCTTTTGTTGAGTATTCACAGGAGAATTCTTCGGCACACGATTTGAGTGCTTCTTCTCAGCATGAAAGAATGACCGGCCTTTCTTTTATGAGCTAAGACAGTAACAAATGCGGGAAAACGTTGCTAAAATGACTTCATATATATGTTGTCTGAGAAGAGAAAGATACAGATGTGGTATGACAGATATTGAAGAGGATTGTGCCATTGCATCCGGCCATGCCTGCTAAGAGTTGGGGACAAAGGTGCCAACATAGCCAAACCCTACTATGAAGAATGCCAAAGATTGCAGATAGAGGTATAGGAAGTAATGGTTCTTTCCATAGGCAAGATCATAGCATGCGATAAAGAAGAGAAACATTCCAACTCCTAGCTCCAGCAGATGGAGTCTGTTGGAAATCAACCATGAAACAAGCAATGTGTCAGATATTATGTATAACACAGTAATGTAACAATTACAGTTTTGAATACAGGACACTGGGAAGCCATGTAAGACTGGCCACCAACTTCAAGAAGGAAATCAACAGCCTTGTTTAGCCTGGGATCTGCTTATGGCTTCAGTTGCTCAAATCTAGTCCCAGGATACTTTATATGAACACATAGAGGAGGCTAATGATTCAAATTTCAAAATATATGCTAACATATGCAATTGTTAATTGAAAACCCAAGTTTTGAAAACTGATGTACAGTGATGCCTTTTTTGATCAGACTCCCCACTCCCCTTCTTGTCAAACTGAAAAAATAGCAGCAGCATGTAAAGAAAATTACCTTTCTCCGATCCTGACTCGAGGTTTCTTGGCTGCTTTTGAAGCTGCTTTTACCTTGAGAGCATCTCCCAATTTCTCAGTTACAACCCATTCATTTACTCTTCCTGCCTCCAGCAGGCCAATAAAGGTTGCCTTAGTCCGGTGCAGAGACATTACATTCTCAAAAAGGATCCAGAAAACTAACAGGTGGAGTGACCTGCACAATTAGATCACTGTGGTAAATAAACTGCTGGAAATTCCAGTAACTCGTAGCAACAAATTTGCATGCTACAGTATGACAAAAGACAATTTGAAATTTCACTTTTCTGGGTATAGACAGCAGGGGAGGGTGGTAGGGAGCAAACCTTAGAGTTCCAACTGAGTTGAGTATGGTAATGATAGAAGGGATATAAACAGATCCCCACTTTGGGACCTCTACTTCAGGAACCAAAACAGTTAATGGCATTACAACACAGTAAAAGACAAAGGTGACAATATGGGCTACGATCTTCCGAACAAAGAAGAAACTGTATATAACATGGAATTTCTTCCACAGAGTCACTTTCTGCAGCAAACAATAGAGAAGACTAAATAAATACATCATCCACTAAAAGGAGATAGGAATTAACAACTACATCAAATGACATCTTTTCTTCTATCAAGAGAAGCTGACCTTGTTCCTTACAACCTCCATGACCATTTTCCTGAACAGATTAGCAGGTCCACAAGACCAACGGTGCTGCTGGTAGCGGTAGGCCTTGAAAGTACTTGGTAGTTCATTTTTCACCTATTGTCAAAAGAAAAAGAAATTTGTAGAACACCATAAGAAAGCCACTCAGAAGTAATTTTTAGCTTTTTAGTTATGAAGTTGGTTTTCAGTTGTGATGATTCATTCGTCATTCCCCAGGGAATAGATTTCCTGTTAGCCTTGGCAGACACTCTCTGAACCTACTAGACTGCGCTTAAGTCTTAAACAAGGAGGCCTCAGCAGTGACCATTCACCAACAAAGCCATGTGTCCCCAAATGACTTGTGTCAAACATTTGGTAGGCAGCTTGGCCTAGTTATATCATTATCAATTAGTTTTTCAAAAGATATTTATTCCTGTACCAAGCTATGGAGATATCATATTTAAAAGAATACTTAGATTTCCTCAGAATACAGGGGAGTCAACATATCGACACAAGTGGACCTGTGGTCCCAAGATTATTCCTAATGTGAATTGTGAAAATCAAATTAAACACGAGCACATCGATCCGATTGCCATCTTCCTTTTTTTTTTTAAAATAAATAATTTAATATAAATATACGGTCAGAAATACATATAATTAACATTCTATACGTATAGATATACGGTACCTGGAGGCCACCAACGTATACGAACTTCCAGCCCTTGAGACTCGCCCGCACGGCTAAATCCATGTCCTCAACCGTTGTTCGGTCCTTCCATCCACCCGCCTCATTCAGAGCCGAAATTCTCCATACGCCGGCCGTCCCTGTATTTTCATTATTTATTTATTTATTTCTTATTTTCCAGAAAATTAAATTTTATTAAAAAAAAGAAAGTAAATTCTGTGAGTAGCAGGGTGTTTTTACCGTTGAAACCAAAGAAGGCGTAGGTGGACGAACCCACTTCCTGCTCCACCGTGAAGTGGTAGTTCAGCGACATCTCTTGCATTCTGGTCATCAAGCACTCGTCGGAGTTCACTGCAAAGCCGCCGGAGAGCCACCGGAACATCATCAGCAGTGTTTTCTTTGTTATATATATAAAATAATCCGATTAAAATAAGAAAGAGCATTAATTGGGAGGAAAATTCAAGTGTCGGTGAATGTAGGAGAGATGGGCCACCAGCAACATCGGGGTCGTGGATTGCAGCGAGCATGGAAAGAATAATTGCACATGGGGGATGCTGTAGAGTGACAAAGAATCGAAGAAAAAGGAAGATAGCTTACGCAGTCACGCTGCTCTCGATTTCACGTAAATCCAAACATACCCCTTACGAATTGCGCGACAAATTCATAGTCAAAAAGGAACTGTCGATTCAGAAAATGACAGACCTACCCCGAAAATCTAGCAGTTCCTTTTGTTCCACGCCGGCTAATCCGATGGCAGTCGCCTTGCTTTGCTTTGCTTACAAGGTTTGCTGGCTTGGTTTGGGACACTACCGTCATTAAACCTACTGACAAAGAAAGCGAATGCAATACATGCAATACTCTCTCTCTCTCTCTACCTGCAAATTGGTTTTTTCGAGGGGGGAAGGTGGAGCGGGACACTGGACAGTGGGAGGGGAGGTGCTGAAGTGGAAGGGAGGGAGTGGTTCACTGGTTTGGATGTGGGTCCCACGTTCCCCATCGGGTGCCGGGGAGGACTGGACCAACATGGACCATGGTCGGAATCGTGAGCCGAAGTGCGAGACCCGGCTGGCCAGCTCTTCGACTTCACGATCAGTCAGGTCGGCATTCAGCAACAAGTCTCGCCACCATCAAAGAAAGCGAAGGCGGAGGAGGCCGAACCGGAACCGCCGAAGAAGGGCAACGAAAAGAAATTGAAAGAGAAAAAAAAAAGGCAGCAAAGAATTAAGAAAGAAGAAGGAACAAGAAAACAACGAAAAATAGACACTAGACAGCACCGACACTTGATTAGAACTAATGACTAAGTCAGACACACTAATTAAGCTGAGTTAAGCGAGGCATACCGAACTTCCAGCGAGCTTGAACTAGAGCTATATCTGGGTTGTGGACAAGGAAAGGGATGGTTCGCCAGAGGAAGTCTGGTTCAGGTTGGAAATCTGCGTCGAAAATGGCGACGTAGTCGCACTCTCTAACGTAGCTTCGTTTCATGCCTTCTTTGAGAGCCCCTGCTTTGTATCCATTTCGGTTGTCTCTGATCTCGTATCTAATGTTAATTCCCTTGCTTGCCCATCTCTGGCATTCCAGCTCCACCAAACTCTGCAAATTTTAATACATAAAGAAAACAGAGCAGACACCCGTATAAGACATTTAAGAAGTTGATCAGGTTTAAGTTGACCATGTAAAAGAAGTCTCGGTTTTTAACTTTTCAGTGTTGTCTTGTACTGTAATATGAATGAATGCAGATCAAAATTGAAACTTTAGATGGAAAAACGCCTGGTTTTAGGTTTTTCCTCTTAATTAACTAGTTTTAGGTTGAATAATTGGTTTAAGCTTATGATTGCTAGCTGGGTCCGATCTGAAGCACAGATCAGAAGCAGGAAAAAAAAACTAGAGCATTTCCTTCCGATGAAGTAAAGAGAAAAAAATTCTTTTCTTTTTTCTGCTCTGTTGTCGTCTAATCTAAAGTAAGCACCTTGATGGTTGAGTCTGTGGAATCGTCGAGAACTTGGATTATGATTCGATCGGATGGCCATGAAAGCCCGCATGCAGCTCCAATGGAGAGCTGGTAAACCTGCATTAACAGTACATGAACAGACATGAAACAAATTCCCAGAAGTACAGAGAAAAAAAGATACAGAGCAACTGAGCAAGGAGCGGAAATGCTGAATCATTAAGACCTCGATAAGAAAGAAACAAGTGGGGAGATAGAGAAAGAAAAGGACCTCCTTTTCATTGTACATTGGGATTTGCACGAGAACCATGGGATAAGCTGAATTTCCCATTTCGACATCGTCCTTCATCGGCTCCCATTTGTAACGCTTCTCGGGTTTTCTCCCAAATACCTTTACGAGAATGATGACGATGCCCATATAGACCCTTTCGACGAACAGCATAATTGACATGATCAAGCACACAAAGACCGCGATTTTCAGTAGAGGAACGATTAGAGGAGCCTTGATCTGTTCCCAGATAAACCCCAATTGCCCCGCGATGTCGTCCCTCGTCCCCTGAAACGTATCCGGAAGCAGTGTAGTAGCAGAAAGCCTATCCATTTCTCTGTTTTGATCTCTCCAGGTAGTGACAGAGAAAACAGAGGACAAGGCAGATGGAAACCCAGAAGCGTGAAAAACAGGGGGACTAGTGGTTTATAGATTGGCTACAATGTCCCAGAGGAAACTCACTAGATCTGCATGGATTTAAAGGAATACCCTTGGCGAAAACAGAACGAATCTGTATCAACCCTTTCTGTCTCTTCCTCTCCTTTGGAGTATCGCTTCCGAATTACGCAATACAATGAGGTAAGGATGGACTGTCAAGTCATTCGTTCGCTCTAATCCCTCAACGCTGTCACCGTCACAGAACCAGACTCACCAGACTACTAAGACGAGAGAAGACAAACCCAGTTCGGATCTCACTCACCCAGAACACAGCAGCCTCGAGAACAAATACAAGCATTACAAAGACATTGACCAGAAAGGAAAAAGTAAGAACACTCGCAAGTACAGAAGATCTAACTTCTAACTCTCTGCTTGAAACCTTCAGCCTTCCCTCTCCCTCCCTCTTTCCCAATCTCTGCAAATCCAAGAAATGCAGAGCAGCAGACTGCAGAAGATACAGATTTGAGCTAGGGATAGAAAGATGGAGAGGCAGAGTAAGAGACAGCGAGATAGATAGAAAGAGGTGGTGTTTTATAGCTTGAGCTTCTGGGTCGTCGTCCTTTTATTTCTGCTCTCTTTCTCTCTCTTCTGCGCTCTTCCCCTCTTCCCTCTCTTATTTAGTAATGTTGCTGCTCTGCTCAGGAACCCCGACTGTTCCGAATAACACAAGTGTGAGACCTAAACCTTTATAGAAGAAACAAAATAAAAGCCGTCAAAAATCGATGACCAGAAACCGGCCGGTGGTGTCAGATCCCGGCGACCACATTTTAACATTTATTATTTAGTTAGCCTTTCCATTAATCCAAACCTGCTCCAATCAATACACATACTGCAGCGATTTCATTTTACACCTGGCCAGAATTACCTAATAATATTTCATTGATCCGTCCGATTGGAATCCTGGGAGTTCCCGCCAATAGAAGGGGTTACATGGATACCATTCTGACSGTTTAAAGTTGTTATGTTCCCAAAGCAAGTGCCTCTCGAATAATTCCTTTTCATTTTCCTTATTGGCGAAAATGGCCTTGTTGTCGTCTCTCTATTTGGAATCTCAGCGATGGATGCGCGTCGGCTTGAATGCCTGTTTTCCGTGAAATTACCATTTGTTCCTTTCCTCTTGGAAGGTGAGCTGCACTTTTAATGCCTATTTAATTTCTTCTCTATTTTCATTTTCCTTTTATAGAATTATTATAGTCTCAACTCTCAAGCAAGAGAGTCAGTCACGCGGTGACTCGACTCGCTTTGCATATTACTGACTCCTCGGAGTCAACTGATGGACTCACTCCCGGCTGAATCACTTTATGCCCGAGTTCATCAACAAAATTTTGAATTTTCTAATTTCCTCTAATTCAAAATCCGAATCAGCAAGTAATAATTTGGGAGAATTTTGATCGTAGATTGATGCCAAATCTACGGTCAAGATGTGGTTTATAGAAGAGGTTACTAATAGACTATGAATACTATAATTTCAGATTTATGTGGAGTGCAGTGTAATAATCTAGAGTGTCTTGGGAGGGTATCCTCGTCATTTAATGTGAAGTTTTTCTTTGCTTTGTTTGCCGAAAAAAAAAAAAAAATCCTCTCCATGTATATTTATTTACCTACGTGAATCGGCCATCGGCAAACAAAAAGGTGCTGGCGACGAGAGGGAAAAAAAAAAAAAGTGCAGGAAAAGAGTTGTAATACCATCGGATTTCTTACGTCAGACCTACGTTCTTTAAAATATAAAACGGTGTTACAACGTTGACTATACGCCAAGTTTGATATAATCTGGACTTATTCTAACCATCCGATGTAACCTAAGCCGTGAATAAATAGACCAGGGAGGAAGGTGGACCCAGGCTACTTCATGTTCGTGACAAGATAGATTGATAAGATGGAGAAATTGTACTTTCTTACTGTATATTATTCAGCAAATGTCGTTAGATCGGAATGACGATGCATCAGGAGATGATGACGCATCGGATGATCCKATTAAACTTTGCGCTTCACAGAATGTAGCAATAAGAGATGATGTACAGTGTCGTATACAATAGTCTCCACAAGTGGACCCGAAGTAGGAATAAAAAAAGAAATTCCACTTGTTGCATGTTTACAAGTGACAAGCATCTGGTTTCTCATGCTTACGTCTGATGGTCGACAGATTATATACAAAAACCTTAAATCATCAATAAAGTTTGGCGCCATTGATTTAGTTGACCAACAACAGAGTCAGTTGATATATTTTTTTTTTATTTCCAAAAGACGGTTGAGATCGCATCTTTAAGATCATTGCTTCAATATTGATAGGCCCAATCATCACGCGCGCATCACATCGTGATTAGCCCAATCTCACGGGTAGTACTGTAGATGTTTTGAACTCGAAGTTCATGATCTACACGTGGCTATGTATCCGACTGAGATTCGTACTTGCAATCTGACAAAACTACCCCTGACTGAATGTCGGTCGCCGTGCGTCCGTTGGCCAAAAACCCCCTTTTAAATGCCGAGAAGGGGGTATTCCGGTCACGAAAAAGATACCGAGGTCCTGCAGCCTGCTCTCCGTCCTCAGCGCACATGCCTAATTTGATCACGATAATTAAACGCCAGCTTCCACAAAACCAACAGACGGTCAATATCGAGGGATGCCGGATGAAAACTGGCCACGGATCGGATTTATTAACCCGGATTTGAATCCACAACTCCGCCCGCCCCGTTGACATCCCTTTTCTCAATTAGTCCTGGAGGGGTATTTTCGTTAATAATGAAGATTAAGAAGGGTAATACGGGCATGCCATTGTCGTATAGGGGGTGTCGGGTGTTGTGAAGGAAGGAAGCGTATATTGGAAGTGGTGGTGRTCTGGTGGATAGCGTCTGGCTGGCCCTGGCTGACCTCCATCTATTCACCATTCTCCAGTCTCCACCTGCCCAGCTGGACGGATGTGAGGACTTCTTACCCTTCTCACCCGTTACGGGCAGCTCCGGATGGTTGCCCTGCCCGTACCGTTGAGCCATTTTTGTCACTGAAGGTATTTATTAAATAAGAAATTTATATATATTTTTCTTTGGTTATGCCGAGTCCGGGCGAATATTCGGACTCCAGGTGTACACAAATCTGAACTAAATAAAATTTGGTGATGAGAAACAGATTTATTTTATGTGAAGCCAATTGACTGGAATCTGATTTCCCCAGCTGTCACCCTTCCCACACAACCACCGTCGGCGGAGTCCCTTTGAGTTTTGCATTCTCCTTAAATGCCCTTTGCTTCCTTTCAATTACGAAATTACCCTGTATACTTCCTATAAAATTGAAATGATCAAAATACCCTTGATTAGTTCTTAACCTTCTACTGTGGTAAGGACTAAGGAGGCTGCATTTGATTTCTATGCGAAATGGATGAAAAAAAAATGCCATGCTAAAATATTGAACTATAATTTTGAGTTTTGTTTTTGTTTTTGTTTTTGGTTTTTCTTTTAAAACAAATTAAAAAAAAATAAAAAAGGAGGGGGTTATTAAGGCTATCAATGAACTTTGAAAATTAGATTCCTAATTTGACAATTGATCTAATTATCTTAGATTTGGATGTTAGAACTTGTATTTAATTAATAATCAAATTAGATGTAGATTTAAATTCATCATTTATTATTAAAATCCAAGTTCAATTAAATATATATGCAATATTTTATATTTTATATAAATGTATTATATATGTATAAGTTAAAATAAATATTAAATATTTTATATTTTTGTTCTTCATTCTAAGCACAACAAGTTGGGCTCAGATTAAATTCCAATTTGATCAGAAAATCTAATATGCTGAACTTGGAACAAATTTGAATGTGACATTTTGATAATTGGATTGGATTATCCGAATTACAGCCCTAAGGTTATAGTTATAACTGAAAGGGAATAGTTGTATGAATTGGTTATGTTAAGAGAATATTTGTTAATAAAGGGTAATTTGGTCATATTTCTTGGAGGGGGGGGGGGAAGGAGAGAATAAAACCATGGGCTTTGACTGTTGACCACTTTGCTTAAATAAAATAAGGGGAAGGAGGAATGGTGCTTTCCAGTTTCTAATGCAAATACTAATGCTAATATTGTGCTGAAACTGATGGTTGTCCTTGAACTATATTGGTGATGGTGACTCGATTTTCTTTCTCATTTTTTTTCTTAGTAAAGTACACTGATTATATTAACCATGAAAGAACTTTAGAGCAGGGCCCCCTTACTGTTCCATTTATGTATTCTAATTGTGCGGGAATAAGGATGTTTCTAGGTTTGTAGGGTTTAGGGTTTTTTTGCCAAAAAGAAATCAAACGTGGATCTTTTTTATTATGAATCAAAGATTGATTAGGGTTAGGGTTTGGACTAGTGCAACTCTTAGAGCAAAGCAAAGCAAGCAATCTCTTTTGTTTGCTCCTAACAGAGATACCCCACCTTTTCATTTTTTTTTCCCATTTTTTATGGGTTTTGTTAAGAGCAAAAACCCATTCCTTATTCATGGGCAAAGTTTGGTCGGTGGGCTTCTAGGCCCAATTACATACCCGGAAATGATGTGTTATCTACCTTATTCCCCCAAACCCTAAACTAAAAGCAAATGAGCTCAATGAGAGATACTTGTGATTTGTGAAGCCTCTCTCTCCCTTTCTCTCTCTCTCTCTCTAAGTGTTTTGTTCCCTCCATGCATATATTTCAGAATCAACACCACACCCATTTTATATTCAGTCTTAGAATCTACGATACCCACCTTATGTAACAATGCCCTCCCAACAGCCTCTCTACCTCTTTTATACATTTTCTTTTCAGCAAACATTTCATGGACAAGATTTTGACTAGATAAGCTCTGTTTGCTTTTGATTTAATGACCCGTCAATTTTGACCAAATTCCGTTGTTAATTAGGGTCCCCTGTTT